GCTCATGTTTTTCAAAGGGAAAGTTCATTTCATTATTATTATCAAACCATCATCATGTGGGGTTTTTTGTTGTTGTTGTTTCTTGGTACCAGGGATCGAACTCGTATCCTTACACTTGCGAGGCAGGCGGCAGAACCACTGAGCTAAATCCCTGGCCCGTCATCATCATGTTTTTTAGCAGTTTGAAAATATAATTAGTCTTCTGTCAGATGTAGATTTTCCAAATATTTTAACAAGTTGTCTTTTTTCATTTAATGTTATCTGTAGCATTACATTTCATTTTGATGTAAGAGGGAGAAATGGCATGCCTATCATCCCAGCACTCTAAGAGGCCGAGGCAGGAGGGTCTCAAGCTTGAGCCCAGCCTGGACAGCTTAGCAACTTAGCAAGGACCAGTCTCAAAATAAAACATTTTAAAAAGGAGCTGGTGATGTAGCTCAGTGCGAAGGCCTTGGGCTCAATCCCCAGTACTGAAGAAAGAGAGAGAGGAGTCTGAATTCTGCGTAATCCTATTTACAAATCTTTTACTTGGTGACTTTTGCCTGGGTGGGTGTCATGCTTAGAAGATGTTCTGCACCCCAACTCGTGTGAACATTCACCAATAGCTTAGCCTCGACGTGCGTGCGCAGACATGCTTAATGTGGAAATTGTTTGCGCATGCCTTGGGAGTAGGTGAGAAAAGCTCAATAATTTCCGATGTGGTCTCAGGAATATTCGTGATGTCTGCATTAGTCTCTCCCCTGCGCCTCCCTGCTGACTCCCACCCGCTCTTCTCTGCGTTGGGAGAGTCAGGGCTGGAGGGCTCCGGCCACCTGGACCTTCCTCGGGCTTCTGATGGTGACCAATGTCACAGCAGGGCCTCGCGGCTGTGCGTGTCCCCTCCTTCGGGGAACTTTCACTCCGCCTCCCTCCCCTGGAGTCGGCTGCACCCTTAGGCCTTCGAGGTCTGTCAGTCCTGGTCTCGCTGAGGCTCTGGCATGAGGGGGATGCTTCTGTCTTTCTCTCTTTGGTCCCGCTGAGTGGCTCATGCGTCTCCAGTGAAACACTTCGAGGCCTCAACTGCAGGATTTCAGCTTTGGCCCCCGCTTCTGAGCTCCGTTAGCAGCTCATTTAATCTTCTTGAGACTCGGTTCCTTGTCTGTAAAATGGGATTAATAATAACCTTCCTTAGCTGCTTCTCCACTGTAAGGATCAAATGAGATCACAGTTGTTAAAGTGCTCAGCAAGCTGTAAACAGTGCACAGACACAGGGTGTTATTAGCTCCCTTTATTCGCTGTTGTAAAGGGTTGACTGTGAATTTGGTGAGTCTAGAGTAATAGTCATTTTCCAAGCACCATGCCGGGCTGTAAACATCAGGTAGGCGCAGTCCTTTCGGCAGGGCCCGTAGGAAGCCCCATGCTGACTTCTGTGCTGTCATCCACGCTCAGAACACATTCAGGGACGGCCGCCCCCATCCTCCGCTGGCGCGGTATTTTCTGCATTTGCGTCTTTCTCCTCCGCCCGCCCTCTCCTTTCCTCTCCTAATCAGGCCACCGAAAGGGAGGGCTGGGGCAGGTGGAGAACCAGGGAGGCAGCCGAGGCTCCCTCGGGAGCTGCTGCTGCTGGGGAGTCTTCGGGGCGCCCGGAGGAGCACTGCCTTAGCAGGAGTCACCAGAGTGGGTCTCACCCGCTGCGAAGGCTGCCTGGGCCGCTGGGCGTCCTCAGAGGTGTGGACGCCGCCCCGCGGGGGGAAAGCAGCCCCGAGTCTCGGGCTGGCGCTGCAGGACTCGGGGTACTTCCTCGTCCTCTGATGAGGAATTGGAGAAGAAAGCCCTGAAGCACCTTTCCCCTGGAAAACGCCTGGACCCCAGCGCCCTTCCCACAGTGGCTCTGCGGAGGGACGAGCCACAACCCAGCCCGCTGCTCTGGGTGAGCTCTCTAACTCAGGGAACCTCGGTCTCCTCATCTATGAAGCAGGGAAAGCATCTTCCTTGAAGGCCTTTTGTGAGGACTCATTGACAAAATGCACGGAAAAGCTTTTGGCAAAAAGCGAATGAATGCGCCATCAGTAAGCACCAGACAGTTTTCCCTCTTTTCAGTTTTCCGCTCTCGGCAGTGATCTACTCCCAACCTGTCCTTTAGCCTTCGATGTTGCTGCTGTTGCGGCTGCTCTTCGCACTGTGACTCAGACTGAGATTTATTTTCCATCCACCTCAGGTTTGTGGTCTGGGGCAGCTGCTGTGCCCCTGTGGTAGCAGCAACCTCAGTGCTGCTTTTTGCACCAGGAGCTGAGAGCAGAGGCGACACCTTCCCACCGACCTGCGACCCCAGGTGGGTGGCAGCAAATCCCACTCCCTGAGCAGCACCGACTCCCCAAACGCCACCTGGTTCTCCCTTCTTACCGAAACTGTGATTGCTGGTGGAGTGTAAACTAGCACAACCACTGTGGAAATCAGTATGGAGATTCCTCAAAAAACTAAAACTAGAAATTCTGCTTGACCCAGCTATTCCTCTTCTAGGTGTCTTTCCAAAAGAGTTAAATTCGTCATATTACAGGGATCCATGCATACTCGTGTTTATAGCAGCACAACTCAGAATAGCTACATCTTGGCATTGGTCTGTATGTTCATCAACAGATGAATGGGTAAAAAAAAAATGTGGTATTTACACACAAAGGAGCACTACTCTGCCATAAAAAAGGATAAACTTGAGTCATTTGTAGGAAAATGGATGCACCTTGAGATCATAACATTAAGTGAAATAAATCAGACACACAGGCTTGGATATCACATGGTTTCTCATATATGAGAAACACAAAATACAGTATAAAGAAGAGCAAAATAAAAGATAGATATATGAAACAGGGAGATAGATCTTTTGCAAATGGGAAGGAGACTAAGATATGGGGAAGAGGGTGTCAGAAAAAATTAAGATACCTTATTACATGCACCAACTCCATATGAGGAATGCAGTCATGCACTGCAAAGATGTGTCAATAAAAATAAATTTCAAAAAAGACGTGGAGATGGGGCAGGAGTTCCCATAAGTGTTCAGAGGAAAACACACAGCCAAGCAGGACCTGGTGCCTGTGCCCATTCCACCAGACTGCAGGGTGCCCTGGGCAGCAATGGCCCAGAGCTGGGGTTTGTGTTACTCAGGGGAGCAGTGTGCAGGTTCGGGCCCAAGGCCTGTGGAAGATGGCAGCATCAGGCCTGGGTGAGCACCTGGCACGCAGCAGGGCCCTGGAGAGCAGCCTGCAGCTCCGGGAGTGAAGTGCCCAGCGAGGGAGTGGGTCCAGGGCAGGCTGGCCACTGGCCCTGCAGAAAGCTTGTGGGGTTCCTTGTGGTCACAGCAGCCTGAGGTTGAGGAAGAACCTGCCCAGCAATCTTTTCAGATTTATTGTGTAGATAGACAAGGGCAGATCACAAAATACAGTGTTGCCTAGGGTTTTTAAAACTACAATAAATTAAAACACATTGCCATTAACCCCCCCTCAAAATTGGCTCCCTCAATTTGAACACACTCATTCCACCATCCTTGCCACTTTCTGCAGCAGCTCTGGAGTCCTCTTTCCTGAGGGTCTTTATGAGATGTGATCATCGACACAGTGCATGCTGCTGCCAGTGGTGTCCAACAGAAAGGCAGCTTGTAAAAACATGATGCTGTGTCCTCATCCAACTTAGTCACTGGATCTGACACCATGTGACTTCTGGCTCCTCCCCAAAGTCAAAATGACCTCGAAAGGTCAACATTTTGAATTGGTTCAAGACATTGAGGCAGCCAGGACAACACAACTAAAGACCCTCAGGAAAGAGGACTCCAGAGCTGCTGCAGGAAGTGGCAAGGATGATGGGATGAGTGTGCTTGAGGGAGGGGAGGATTTGGAAGAGGATTCATTGGCAACAAATGCACAAATACCAACTTTGTACAATGAATAAATAAAGTTCAAAATCAGAATCCCAGGAGAGTTTTTTTGTATATCAAAAAGCTGATCTCAGTATACACAGACACACACACACACACACACACACACACACACACACACACACAGAAAGGGAAATGATTTATATTAGCCAAAACAGTTTTGAAAAAGATCAACAAGGTTGGAGGACTCGCATACCTAATTTATGAGACTTACTGTAAGACCACACTATTCAAGGCAGTGTGGAATTTGAAAAAGGATAGTCACATACCTTAATGGAACAGAACAGAGAGCTCAGAATGGACGCACACACACAGTCAGCTCACTGTTGACAAGTGTGCCAGGGCTACCCTGTAGGGAGAAGGTGGTCTTTCAACAAATGATGCTGGACCATCGGGGGTCCTGATGTAACAAAATGAACTTCACACCTCACACAGCATGTGTCAGACACCTAAATATGAAGCGTAAAAGTGTACAACTTCCTAGAGAAAAAAAAACAAAGAAAATCTCTGTAACCTTGGGCTAGACAGACCTTTTAGCTACAACTGCAAAATCATGATTCACAGGTAAAACATACTAAACTGAACTTAATCCAAATTTAAAATTTTTGCTTTACAAAAGTTACTGTGAAGAGACTAAAAAAGACCAGCCATGTACAGAGAGAAAACACTTACAAGTAACATTTCTGATGAAAATTTTACCCACAATATATAGGGGGCTGTAAAACTCAGTAAGAAAACAAACTGCCTGATTACAAAATGATCAGCAACAGTGCTGATCACAGACTCCATTGAATAAAATACAGATGCAGGCTGGGCATCTGTGGTGACACAGATTGGTCATCCCAGCCCTCAGGAGCCCGAGGCAGGAGGGTCGCCATGAGTTGGAGGCCAGCCTGGGCTGCATAGTGAGTTCGAGGCCAGCCTGGGCTGCATAGTGAGTTCAAGGCCAGCCTGAACTACATAGGGTGACCCTGTCTCAAAACAAAACAGAAAGAAAAGAAAAATACAGATGCAAGTAAGCATGTGAGAAGAGATCCGGTATCATTTGTCACTAGGAAAACACAAAGTAAAACAATGAGCTGCCACATGCATGTGTTAGAAGGACTGAGGTCCCTGAGAGTGGAAACACCAACAGGAGAAATCCCCGTTCCCTCGGGCAGCAATGCCAGCCTGCACAGCGTCGCTTTGGAAGAGGTTCGGCAGTGTCATATACAGGCAGGCGCAGACTCACAGTACGACTCAGAAACACTCTTCCGGGGACTCACCTAACCGATTTAAAAGTTTATGTCCACAGATGCCTATAAAAGTTTGTAGCAGTTCTCTGCAGGGTGGCTGAAGGACCGGACGCAGCCGGGATGTCGCCCAGTAGCTGAATGCTGGACCCGGCTCCGGCACGCTGGGGGCTGCTCCGCAATCCACGGCCATGTGCGGGGCCATCCACGCACGCCGAGGGGATCACAGGTGCCCTGGACCAGCGAGAGAACCAGAGGAAACAGGCTGTGATATCCTGGGAAGGGTCAGAATTACAGGGAGAGGAGGACTGATCCACGCTCGCCCGGAGCTGAGGGAAAGAGGTGTTTAATGAGCGGCGCTGGGCAGTTTGGGGTGGTTCGGAGGGGTAGATCCGTGCCGCTGTGCGTTTATCAAAACCCAGAGCCCAGCAGCGGAGAGAGCGAGCCCCAAACGTGCAGATTTAAAAGTCAGCAGAGGTCAAGAGGCCCAGGATAGAACGCAGTCTGACGTTACAAACACACGACATCACCTCACCGAGGGCGCTGGGCAGAGGCAGACAGGCGCAGCCCCAACTAGCTTTGGAAAGCGGCGTTTTAACTGGAAACCAAAAAAGAAAAGACAAAAGGAACCGAACATAAGCACTTTAGTCAGCAAAGCTGTTTCCTGGGGTAAGGGTCAAAGATTCTGGAACTGCTGTACTGTTTCCTGGCATTGAGCAAATAAATATGAGGTATGACTGAAAAATATGAGACATATTTACTTTTAAAAATGTATTACAGTAAAACACATTGCCGTTAATCACCCTCGGAATCCTCAGAATACCTCATCTGCTTCGAATACACTTCTCCTACCGTTCTTGGTGAGTGTCTCTCACTGTAATAAGTTTCTTCTTTCTTACCTTGAAGCGTTCATTGTATGTTTTAATCATCCCATGTACGGAGCAGTTTGTGGAGGCCCAGTTTCTTGTGGCTGAGGAGGGGCAAGAGAGAAGCAAGGGAGGGAGAATGAGCCAGAGGGAGGGAGGGAAGAAGAGGGAAGGCGACTTAAAAAGTGGAGATGTGTCATGCGCGTGGACCAGCTCCCCGTGGGGATGTGACCGTGGTGGACCGCAAGCGTGGAGAGACAAGAAACAAACTGCAAGAAGCTACAGCTGGAGGCGTCAGTGTGAACTCGATATGGCTGAGCAGGTCCGGAAGTCGCAGGCCGCCGTGTCTCCCAGCTCCGATTGCTGAGACAGAAGCAGTGGCATCTCGGTGGTGCCAGGCACACCTCGCGCCCGGATTGCGGGTGCTAACGCCGACCCACAGGGAGCCAGGGCCCCACGAGAAATGCTGATGCCAGCTGGGCGAGGATGTGGTGCGCACAGACCAGCATGTAAGGAAGGGCGCAGTCAGCAGTGACGTCAGAGGGACCCGGGCACCGCCTCCAGGGCTCCCCAGACCCCGACCCGGAACAGTCTGAGCAGTGAAGTAAGTAACACGGCATTAGGTTATAACCCAAAGGTTACAATAGTGGTCGTAGATCTTACCACATACATAGACGATGCGGCGTGGAAGTGGATGAAGAAGCGGTGGGAGCTCAAGTCCACGCCAATTGCACGGGGTGTGCCCAGGACTTGCTCCGGAGAGCTGGGTGGGGGAGGTGGAGGACGGGCACTGTGGAGAGGAAGTCTGGCGCACGACATCGCCGTCAGGCGCTGGAGGCCCGGTTGGCACAGTAAGCCATGTGGGTGGCAGGGACTCCCGAGGGGAATGAGGAGGCGGGATCTCACTGTCTGGCCTCCCCTCTCTTAATCCCTTCATCCCTGCCTAACTATGAAAAGGTCAGACAAATCGGAACGTAAGGGCATCCCATCCAACATCTGCCCAGCACTGCTTTGATGTCACGTGCATCAGAAACAAGAGAAGCCCTAGACGCGGTGACAGCCAAGGGCAGAGTTGGAGACACAGTGCCTAAAGGGATGGAACGGAACCCAAGGAATGGAATCTTGGGAGAGGAAAGGGCACAGGAGAAGGAAGAGTGGTGAAATCTAAATAAAGTTGCGGATGCGCTAACAATGCTGTCAGTACTGGCTCTTCACTGGGACGCATGCACCTCAGTAACGGAAGGAAGGCACTGGGCTCAGAGTCTGTGGATGCTGCGTCACATCTCGTAGTTTTCCCGTGCACTATTCCAAAGTGTTTGTTTGTTTCACGAGGATGGAGCCCAGGGGCTGGCACATGCTAGGCGAGTGCTCTACCACTGAACTACATCCCCAGCTCCAAACGAAGCATTTATTTCAATGTTTTTAAACGTATTGGAGGAACACATCAGTCACAGAGGATGTGTTGTAAAAGCAGGTACAGAATGACCCCAGTCTCCTACAGTTAATACAGGAGTAGGGACGTGGAAAACTAAATTCGTGTTCAGGCATCCACAGAGATGTGACTGGCTGACTGGTATTTCTCCCTTCTGCTTCGCTGGATCTGATACTTTCTGTATTTTACAGCAAGCGGGTACTCGGTGTGACATTCTGCAGCTGTACTCAGGTAATAAGTGGGAGACCATGCAGCCAAGCCAGGGAGGAGGGGATGCTCACTGCTGCCCACCCGGGGAAGCGGGTAGATCTGGCTGCTCTCGGCCCGTGCGCACCTGCCCCAGGAACACTCACTTCCGGCCGCACTGGGAGCCCTCAGTGTGGGGGTGATGGCCACTCCTGAGTCGGGCCAAGGGTGGCCCCTTCTTCCTTCCCTCTGGGTTAGGAAAACCGAGACGCAGCGACTCAGGCGAGGGTGCACAGACGGATGTTTCATGCAGGCCATGCAGGGTTTCTTGTTTTTTTAATTTAAAAAATTAGGAATTTTTTGTTAGTTCACGTTTGCCTACTCTGCGTGTGGGGAGTTGGTGCGTTCACATAACACATCGTCCCTCTCTCTCCCCCTCCCTTCCCTCTCCCCACCGCTTCTATCTCTTTACCCCCTTCCCCTCTTTCGTGCACATGTTGGCAGTGCTTCACATTAAAGGCACCAGGTCACAGTGACCCACGCACACCCTTGTTCACAACCGCAGCTTGCAATGGCTAAATCTTGGAAGTGGCTCATATGTCCACCTGGCAGATGCATGGATAAAGAAAATGCGGCAGTTACACACAATGGAGCACTACTCTGCCATGAAGAAGGAGAAATTTGAGTGATCTAGGAGAATGGATGGACCTTGGGGTCACAGCGTTAAGTGAAATCAATCAGACACAGAAGCTGAGATACCACATGGTTTCTCTTATATGAGAACCCAACGCATAAATAAAGAACAGAAGACTCGATAACAGGAAGCAGGGGGCTAGGTCCTTCTCAAATGGGACGGGGACGGGGAGGTAGGGGGTAGAAGGGGTTGCAGTGCGTTATGTGACGCACCAGCTCCACGCGAGGGATGGAAACGTGCGAGTGTGGAGCCATCCAAGTACCTCTAGTGGGGCCTGTCCTCGGCTGGTGTCAGCTGACACAGTGATTAAGGACAGCTCCGGAGCCCTGTGACTGAGACTTTCATTTAGGTGCAAAACAAAAGAGAAAACCTGGGTGTGGTTCAGGACTTCTGAAATGAAGCCAGGAAAAGCAACCTCTCTCCATTCATGGAGAGAAGCGGAGTTCTTGTCTGTGGGGGTTAATTTCTTGCTGGAGCCAGGACCACAGTGTTGCACAAACCCAGCAGGCTGCGTGTGCATCGTCAGCTCTGCAAATAGAGCACCTGGAATTGTGCAGTGCACAGACTGGGCAGCCGTACGCAGCAGCCTGGCTCTCTGTCTGTGCAGACTGTAAAGGCAGGGTCCCGTGTGAGGCTGAGTAAGGTGTGATTTTGCGTCCCATCTCAGGTCAAAACTCCCCTCAGTCTTGCTCATCGGCGTCATGGCCTCTTTACTTCATACTGAGGTCCGTGTCCTCTCATGGATCCTTCATAACGGTCCTAACCCAAAGTACTAATGTAGCCCCATTTACAAGTGAGAAAACTGAGACTTTGAGGAATTAAGTCATTCCGTGGAACAGAGATGAAAATCTAGGTAGTAGAAGACACCTTCCAAGAGACAATACATTTGTAAAGACATGAGAGTTAATGACTTTATTGTAAAGTCATTGCTATTTTAATCCTCTTTGCTCACTGATTTTTCTATAGCATAGATCACTACATGTGTATTTGAATATTATCACTGACAATTTTTTCTTCATTCATTTCCCAAGATGAAAGTAACTATATTATCACTTCTCATTTTTACTCTTGCATTATTTTCTTGGCATTTGGTAAATGCAGCATTTCAATATTTGCGGCACATACTTTTTGTATAAGGGTTTCTAGCAGGAAGTCAGAGTTTAAAATTTTGTATAATCAGTTAGCTGTTTTGTCTCAAGAGCAGATGCAGGTGTTTTTAAGCTGTGAGGAATCTGGCAGGACTTTGGCTATTGGATACCAATAACCTTAAAATCTGTTAGCTAAACTTGCTGCTTAATCTCCTCCTGCCGCAGGCAGCGGAATCTGGGATTTCCAAGGACACATTGAAGCGCAGATGGTTTTCTGGTCTCTCTCAGGGAAGTCAGGTGCATGGGGAGAACCGGAGAACTGCGCATTTGGGAGTGGAAAGAGTTGCATCTGAGACAAGAGCATTGAGACTGCTGAGTCTGGAGCCCAAGGCACAGAGCCTGCAAAGCATTCCTCTAGCAAAGTCAGTTCCCTTGGCTCTGCTGGTGGCTGCGCTGAGAGGCTGAGAGCATCTTTTGAACGTGCAAGGCAGAAGCCACTGCTGACAGTACAGCTTCGCTCATCAGGTAATTAGAAACAAAGCTCTTTCCTGTCTTCAGCAAGCACACCCTCCAAGAATGAGCCAATGTATTCTGCAGCCTCTGATGGCGCTCCTGAGGCTCAGACCCAGGTCCAGCCATGCACAGCGTGCCTGTGAGCCAGGGTGGACAGGGTCTCAGCCTCCCGGCCCTGAGTGCTCACCCCATCTCTCCCGCTGCTCCCATGAAGATAACTGGGAAACCAAGCTCAGGACCTGGGAACCACCCCCCAAATCAGTTGCTTTGCTCAGTCTGCATTTGATTACTAGCTCTTAAGAATTCTACTTCCTCAATCTCTCTTTCATCTATCTCTGCACCCTGCGAGCTGGTGCTCCTCCCTGTACTCAGAAGACTGCCAACCTTGTACCTGATGCTGGTACACCTGGGAAACTGAGGCAGGAGGATCACCGTTTCAAGCCCAGCCTGGGCAAATTAACTGTTTAACAGGACCCTACATATATGCTGGTATAAGTCATGGAGTATGTTCAGCCCATTCACAGAAGGGTGCTTACTGATAAATATATTCAGTCAGTGCCCCCAGTGCCTTCACGCAAGCAGTACCCTACCAAATGTCTGTTTACTGTTGGAAAGAAGGAAAAATTAATGAAGTTCTACAGAGCTAATATTTGGGGGGAAATGGGCTCATTTGAATCCAAAGTGGAGGGCCTTTGTTTCCTTTTGTTCTGACTTTCCATCTAAAGCTTTAAAAGACTTCTGAAATTTTCTTAGGTTCATTGGAAGGAATTTTTCCTGAACTCTGGGACCGCGTGTGACTTTCAAGGGCATAGTTACCTCCCAGCCCCTGAGCATCTGTGGCTCCGGGGGAGGGGAAATCTGACTCTGTTCATCTCCAGGCCTGTGTGGTGGAGTTTCCTCTCCTCCCAGTCCAGGGGACAGAAAGCCCCTCTTCTCCACTCACCTCCTGGGGTGGCCTAGCTCGCTGTCACCTTAAACAACTGGACAAACAGTATCTTCAATCGTTTTCTGTTTTGTGCTTTACTTGAGAAATGGCAGTTGAGAAAAGGTACAAGATTGCAAAAGAGCGTCCTGGACATATTTGTCACAGGCTGGGAAGACCTGGTGATTGTCGAAGTAATGGGTCTGCTCACCTTCCCCGGCCAGAGGGTCCATGTGCTGCTTCTTGCCTCAGATACCAAGAAAACCTCACTAGCTGTGGGTCTCCTCGAGGACTCTCTTTACCAACACTTAGTCCCTGGATTGGAAATAAAACAAACGAGAGAACCTGCAACTTTGACTTCCTTTGGACGCTCTTTTTGCTTGGAATGAGGCTGACATGAAAGGTATTGTTGCAGAATTTAAGAGATTGGAGAGACCAACAGGTGAAACAGGAGGATTTATTTAGGTCACCAGCTCAGCAGACCCATGTCCAAAGTCTGAGCCCAGAACAGAGGAGGGCTCTAGTTTTACACATGCTGAGGAGGGGGATTGGTCTACCTAACAGTGTGAGACTTGTGGACAGAAGCAGAACAAAACCAGTCAGTCAGGCTGTGAAGGTTTTGTAACTTGGCATATCTTGGTGGCCTTGGTTGGGTAAAAACAGAATCTTATGAGAACAGGAGGTTGGGAAACCTTACTTACATTGACAGAGTTACTAATTTTATTTGTAATAGAACAAAGAACAACAGCTGTAGGGAGGGGGAAGTCTAAGAGGGAACCGCCTAGGTTGGGGGAACTTGTTTTTCCTTCTTTTTAAAGTCCTACTTCAGTATCAGCCTTTTGCTTCTCTTTGGGGAGCGATGGTTGAAAGCTGGGATGGCAGACAGGAAGCGGAGCCCAGTCCTGTGCAGCCAGCCTCCTCCGAAAGGCCCCCTGACCTTTATTCCCCAGGAAGAGGAAGCTGCTCATGGGAACATCACAAGCTGCCATTGATGAAATGTCTCTCAACATGTCCACAACTCCCCACCCAACCGTGCTTGATGACAACTAGTGGTGGAAAAACTCTCCCCAAGTCGGGACTGGCTGTCCGCCCTCCAGATTGCTTCTCTGAATGCCAGAGGTTATCTGTGAGGAACGAGGGAAGGAAGTGTATTTGAAAACATCACTGGAACTGTGTACAACATCTTAAGGTGTTTGATCCTTTTATGAGCTGTTGACAGCTTTTTGCCATTGAAGTCGATGTGAGAGTTGCCAGCCAAGCCAAAGGAGGAAGCCGGGCCAGAGGGCTTGACCAGAGCCCGGAGTGCTGCTTAGATCATAGGACACGCGGCTGCTGGGGAGAGGGAGCAGCCCGGGGCACTGTGAGGAGCTCCGGCTCCCCCTCGGCAGTTTCCGGCAAACCCACTCTAGCC